GAGGAATAAGATTCTCTGGTCGGATGAGGCCAAGATAGAACTTTTTGGCCTTAATTCTAAGCGGTATGTGTGGAGAAAACCAGGCACTGCTCATCACCTGTCCAATACAGTCCCAACATTGAAGCATGGTGGTGGCAGCATCATGTTGTGGGGGTGTTTTTCAGCTGCAGGGACAGGACGACTGGTTGCAATCGAGGGAAAGATGAATGCGGCCAAGTACAGGGATATCCTGGACGAAAACTTTCTCCAGAGTGCTCAGGACCTCAGACTGGGCCGAAGGTTTACCTTCCCACAAGACAATGACCCTAAGCACACAGCTAAAATAATGAAGGAGTGGCTTCACAACAACTCTGTGAATGTTCTCGAATGGCCCAGCCAGCGCCCTGACTTAAACCCAATTGAGCATCTCTGGAGAGACCTAAAAATGGCTGTCCACCAACGTTTACCATCTAACCTGACAGAACTGGAGAGGATCTGCAAGGAGGAATGGCAGAGGATCCCCAAATCCAGGTGTGAAAAACTTGTTGCATCTTTCCCAAAAAGACTCATGGCTGTATTAGATCAAAAGGGTGCTTCTACTAAATACTGAGCAAAGGGTCTGAATACTTAGGACCATGTGATATTTCAGTTTTTCTTTTTTAATAAAATCTGCAAAAATGTCAACAATTCTGTGTTTTTCTGTCAATATGGGGTGCTGTGTATACATTGAGGAAAAAAATTAACTTAAATGATTTTAGCAAATGGCTGCAATATAACAAAGAGTGAAAAATTTAAGGGGGTCTGAATACTTTCCGTACCCACTGTATATATATACACACACACACATCACATAATGTAAATAATTTCTTACAGAATAAGAATATGTGCATAACTCAATTTTGACAAAAATGTCAGATAGAACCTTTTATACAACAGTTCGTTCTGGTTCTCAAATCTGATTGGTTGAGAACTGTGAGATATTGTACTGGTATCACTACTGGAACGCCCTTTCTCAATTTGTATCACTCCACATAATGTAAATAATTTCTTACAGAATAAGAATATGTGCATAACTCAATTTTGACAAAAATGTCAGATAGAACCTTTTATACAACAGTTCGTTCTGGTTCTCAAATCTGATTGGTTGAGAACTGTGAGATATTGTACTGGTATCACTACTGGAACGCCCTTTCTCAATTTGTATCACTCCGCTTGCCATATTTCTCACAGCGAGTGTCATGATGGATGCCCAAATCCACTATAATTTAAAAATAATACTGTTTTTGTGTCATGGAATGTAGTTTTAAGAGTTTTTTAGGCGAGAATGTACTTAGTTAGACTTCAAATATGCGGTTTGTTAATAAAGATACCGTCTATTAGAAAATTTGCTTCGACGTTTTCGGAGATGTGAGCTCCAGGCCGACAGTGGCAATTCAGCACTCACGAAACCGCCGAGAGCAGCCTGACCTCCGCCAGACCTTCTGGAATTTGCCGCTGGTTCTGATGTCTCTATAGTGGTTAAACATGAGATATAATTCATTTTGGGTAAATCTAATGTAGAGTCTTTGGTCTCATTAATCTATTATTTGTTCCAGAGCAAATAGCTTTGGCTAAAGCTAATAACTTTGTTTTATATAACTTTAATGCTGTATATTAGAGCGCTGCCTTTGTACTTTTGACTGAATTTTCTAGCAACTTTTATGATGGCGGTTGTTGTTTATTATTATTCATTAAATAATATTTATTATTTTATACATAGTAGTGTTTGGTGTGTGTGTGATGGTGATTTTAGTGACATTGTTACGCCATTAGATGGTGACAAGAGACTGTTTTACGAATCAGCAGTAAAGACATACATTGAAAGAGACTGAAACGGAAGTTATTTTTACTTTAAGTAACAGCTTGTAAGACACAGTTAACAAATGCAGTGAGCAGCGCTGTCATCAGAAATCACCCTTAACAGATGAAAGGAGATTATGACAAAGATATCGCTTTCCTCAGCAGACATTCAAACTAATGTTTTATATATAAGATTGAGCTGAAGAATGAATGCTGTATCAGATGCAGGTAATCACACTCGCTCAGTCCATCTCTCTCTCATAATACTCCACATAACCTCCTGAAAACCAGCTATGGAGTTTTGCCCTCTCTAGAGGACATTATTTTTTAGCGATTTCTCTGAGACCTTACATGTCACAGTTGTAAGTCTGGATGTCCTGTAAAGAGCACATTCAGGGCTTTTCAGAGATACCAAATGTTTGAATGTTTCACCATGACCCCTCTCCTTGGTCTTTAAAAATGGCTGACATAAATTTAGTGATTAAATTCAACACCCTTGGAAATATGATACTATTTTGTAATGATCATTTAAATCTGACTAATTTTCTAATTGTTTGTCAACATCTCAGGAAAATGTTATGGGGTTTCAAATCAAAATATTACTTTCTGTTACGAAACAGGACTGTAGAGGACACCAAGACTAAAAGCATGTGTATTACACATTTTGGAAGACACAACAAATGAATAGGGAAATAAATTAGGGAAAGGAAGTAGTTCTGCACAAAAGACTGTTTTTAAAGACACTGTTTTTCTTATATATTTACACACTTGTTCCGTCAAACTGTTGTATAAACGCAATATCACACTGAGATATGGCTGTATATTGGCACACTGTGATTACCTGCGGCCTCGTGCCTACGGCTGAATCACAGCTGTGCTGATATACAGCCATATCTCACGTCTACAAGTGTGATAATGCTCATAATTCCAAGGGGACGATGTGTTGCTTTTGCTGTACATAGGGTAAAAATTACTTCAGAAAGATGAACTTTAGAAACAACATTCATATCAAATTTTACTTCCATGATGAGGGTGAACACATTAAAACGAAGCATGGATTTATAATAAATACAACCTATTAAACTAGAAAACACCATATATAAAAAAGCTTTAAAAAACACTAGTAAACAGAGGTAACACTTGACAGTAGGGCTAATTTCATGTCAAACCAACTAAATTTCAGAAACCTCCCCAGCTTAAACTTTTGATTTTGTCAGGTTTTTTTTTTCCTGAAGATAGAGAAACATAGTCTTGAAAGCCAAAATATTAAATGTCATGGGTGAATATTTAGTAATCAACTTTTGTAGATGGAGGTTAAAAAAAAAAAAAAAAATTGTCACCTGATTCAGAGCCAAATTACAGTGGGGTAAAAATGACTACAGAAAGATGGCAGCATCATTATATTATTTTGACACAGTGATTGGAAGGTCTATTAGTAAAATCCATTGACTTCTTTGTTGCATTATATGCTATGTATTTTTGGCACTCAGACAGGTGCTCTATGTTCTATGCAGTTGTTTTGATAAAGGGAAAGAAGGTGCATTTCTAGTTTCAATATTATATGGAAGCAAAGTGACCCACATTTGGTTTTTGACCATTGAAAATGGGTAAAATTTGAACAATTTGAACATGGAGCTGCATTGAGATCCCCGCATCTCTGGAATTGAACCATAGGGCCTTAAAAATTAAGATTACAAAAGTAAAGTTTGTTAAGAACCGAAATCTAAAAAGATATTAAGATATATTTAATACTTCTTGAGTTACAGGCATGCAAACTTCAAGGAGGAAAAAACAGTGCTTTTTCCCATTTTTAGCTGGGGATCTCAGGTTGAGTTGACACAGAATTATGGTCTTTATTTCTTTGCTAACCTTAGTTAATACATTAGCTAACATAAGAAATAAACATTATTTGTTTTTTTTTATTTATGCAGAATTTATTCATCTTTTCTTTTTTTAATGGTATTAGTAAATGTTGAAATTATAACATTAAGATTAATAAATGGTTTTTTTTTATTTATGCAGAATTTACTCATCTTTTCTTTTTTTAATGGTATTAGTAAATGTTGAAATTATAACATTAAGATTAATAAATGCTAAATAAGTATTATTTATTGTTAACTGAAGTTAACAAGTTAAAACTTATTATAATGTTTTACCATAATTAACCAAATTTAATTTCCTGTGGCAGATATTTAGTTTCATTATCTGTTTAATGTCACTCTGTAACCAAGAATAAATACATTGTAAATCAACACATCTTTATACATTTTGTTAAGGTGCGTCGTATGCCATTTCAGATGAAAAGAATCAGTAAAGTACATTTAAAAATGCTGAAAAAAGGAGGTCATTTAGGTACATGGTACCAAGACATATGCAAAAAGCAGTATGTGACATCAGAAATATTGCATCATATATATATATATATATATATATATACTGTATATATATATATATATATGTGCAGTGCTCATTTCAGCTCACAACTATGTTTTGAATATACATCATTAAAGTATTTAATTCATTTCTCTCTAAAAGTGTTACTCTGAACCCTGTAGAAAATATATTTTTCAAGGCAGTAAAGTGTCGGCAGAATGTTTAGTAGCCTGTTATGTGTATGATAGAAACTCTTTGTGATTAAAAAGGTTTATGAAAGGACAGATTTGTTTAATATTTTTTCACTCTCAGTTCATCCTCAGTTCTCAATGCATACATTTTTACAATCCGTTTCCATTCGAGAACATCTCCTCGATGAAATTTCTCCCTCAACATTGTAAAGCTGGCACGTATTCTTTTCTTTCCAAGAAACAGTGTAAAAAAGCAGTCTTGAGACTGGGGCTCGGGCCCAAGTTGGCTGATGTTACCCTGACAACAGCGCAAACGCGTATATCGAGACCAGAGCCAGCGGGACCGTTTGTGTTTCTCTTGTGCCAGAATTCATCTGATCAAAGTCTTTGGTTTGTGGGTGATGGTATCGGTGATTGTTGGTATTTTCCGATGTCACTGCAAGAGAAAAGAGAAAAATGTAAGTGATTCCACTAGACGCAAACTGGTCAGATAGGTTTATTCAAAGCATGTGTTTTCAATGTGTTGAGGAATGAGGATAACTAGTTCAAAAGCAAGTCAACATGAACATCACTATCAGATGTTCCTGGGAAGTTCCTACTTATGAGTCGTAACTATTGCTAACTTCAAGTCGTGATGAAATTATCACGTTTTCAAGAACAAATGCACATGAAGAACTGTTAATATTGTATTGTTAGCTATAAAACTCGCTAAAAAAAAAAAAAACCATTTATTTGGTGCATGAGGCAACACGATTGCATGACTAAACTATCCTATCATTAACACAGATAAAGCACCAATTACACAGTTGTATAATTTGAATGCTAAACATCTTGTCAAAAAACCAACTTCACACACTTATCCATCTGCACCACTGGAGCTGATAACTTACAGCCACTTTTAACTAAATGTAAATAGACACCCGTATTTTTTTATTCCAGAGTAAGGGCAAATCATACAATACATTTAAACTGAGCTACTTTAATACCATCTCCGAACTTTCTACCACGACTCTGCTGTTCTTCGGCTGGTTCTGCCTGTATAAGTTGATTGACAGATGTCTCGTCCAGTCAGCGGTGAGTAATGCCAAACCAATGGCGCTGTCTCAAACTAAACCTACCTTTTCCGGTTTGTCTGATTTGTCGTTGTGTTTTCTGATTTGTTCATTTGTTTTCGGATTTGTTGTTGTGTTTTCTGACTTATTTTGTTTTCGAATTTGTCATTGTGTTTTCTCACTTGGTATAATATTTTCTGAATTGTTATTGTGCTTTCTGAATTGTTATTTTGTTTTTTAGACTTGCATTTGCATTTGTAATTTGTTATTTTGGTTTCAGAATTGTGATTTGTTTAGCACTTCTCGGCCACCGTACAAAATAGCCCAAAACAGTTTTAAACAATCATGTCGGTGGATTTTGATGTGAGAGGACAACAGAGGATGGACTTTTGCACTGGAGCAAGCAATATTTTGGAATATGGATTTTGGACAGAAGCAACAGTTTAAAGCTAAAATACATTAATGATGGATTTGTTTCTTGCAAACACACATATTTTTCATTTCATGAGACATTACTTGATGAACTGCAGTCATGCGGACTACTTGTGGATTATTGTGATGTTTTTATCAGCTGTTTGGACTCTCATTCTGATGGCACCCATTCACTGCAAAATATCCACTGGTGATCAAGTGATGTAATGCTAAATTTCTCCAAATCTGTTCCCATGAAGCAACTCATCTACATATTGGATGGCTTGGGGGTGAATCAATTTTACGCAAATTTTCACTTTTGGTTGAGATATTCCTTTGAATAACTAAATCATGCATGCAACACAAAATCCATGCACTTTTCAGGCACATTTCTGGGTTTCTATCCCCAAGCTGTCACTTGAAAATTGTCAGGGATTCAGCATTCCGGATTATTCAGAATGCAGCGGTACGACTGGTTTCAACGAGCCCAAAACAGCCCATGTTACACCCCTCTTTATCTCCTTGCAGTGGCTACCAGTTGCGGCTCGCATCAAGTTCAAGACATTAATGCTTGCATATAGAACAGCCACAGGCTCAGCACCCGCCTACTTCCACTCACTACTATGAATCTACATCCCCTCCAGAAGTCTGAGATCCGCTAGTGAGTGATGCCTCATGGTACCATCACAGAGAGGCTCAAAATCACTTTCTAGAACATTCTCGTTCACCAATCCTGACTGGTGGAATGATCTTCCCACCCCTATCCGGAATGCTGAATCCCTGACAATTTTCTAGCGACTCTTTCAACGCTACTTGATTTCATCCTTAAAATTAAAAAAAAAAAAAAAAAATCTTTGTCTCCTGTATTTATTATTACAAGAGGATCTGATGATTGACAAAAGCAGCAGATAGATCCAGCAGAATAAGAACTGATGATTTGGAATCAGCTTTTGCCATTCCAAATCATCAGTTCTTATTCTGCTGGATCTATCTGCTGCTTTTTTACACTGTCAATCATCAGATCCTCCTGTCCACCCTCTCATCACTGGGCATCACAAGGATTCCACTTCGCTGGTTTGAATCTCACTGGTAGGTCATTCAGGGTGGCCTGGGGAGGGGAGGTATCCAAAGCACCTCAACTGGTCACTGGGGTTCATCAGGGATCAGTTCTAGGACCCCTCCTCTTCTCCATATTCACCACATCACTGGGTCCCATCATACAGGCACATGGGTTATCCTACCATTGCTATGCTGATGACACACAGCACTATCTCTCATTTCAACCAGATGATCCAACGGTAGCTGCACGGCTCTCAGGCTGCCTGGCGGACATCTCGGCATGGATGAAAGAACACCACCTACAGCTCAACCTGGCAAAGACTGAGCTTCTTGTCTTCCCTGCCACTCCAACTATACAGCATGATTTCACTATCCAGCTAGGTTCTTCTACAATTACCCCATCAACTTCGGTCAGAAATCTTGGTGTAATCTTTGATGACCAGCTGACCTTCAAAGACCACATTGCAAAGACTGCTCGATCTTGCAGGTTTGCATTGCACAACATCAGAAAGATCAGGCCCTTTCTAACGGAGCATGCTGCACAATTTCTTGTCCATGCCCTTTTCATTTCTAGGCTGGACTACTGCAATGCTCTTCTGGCTGGACTTCCATCAAGCACAATCAAACCTCTAAAAATGATTCAGAATGCAGTGGCACGACCGGTATTCAAGGAGCCCAAAAGAGCCCATGTTACACCTCTCTTTATCTCCTTGCACTGGCTACCGGTTGCGGCTTGCGTCAAGTTCAAGACATTGATGCTTGCATATAGAACAGCCACACGCTCAGCACCTGCCTACTTCCACACATTACTACGAATCTACATCCTCTCCAGGAGTCTGAGTGAGCGACGCCTCGTGGTACCATCACAGAGAGGCTCAAAATCACTTTCCAGAACATTCTCGTTCACCATTCCTGATTGGTGGAATGATCTTCCCACCCCTATCCAGAATGCTTAATCCCTGATAATTTCCAAGCGACAGCTGAAAACTCATCTCTTTCAATGCTTCTTGACTTCATCCTAAACTTAATAAATAAATAAATAAACTTAGTCTTTCTATTTTTTTATTCCTTCCCTTTCTAGCTTGTACTTATTTGAACAATGCCTAAAACTTGGTATTGCAAGCACTTCCTGTGTCTGTTTGCCTCTTTAAAAAGAATCGCTTCATATATTCCCCAATTGTAAGTCGCTTTGGATAAAAGCATCTGCAAAATGACTAAATGTAAATGAAGATGATGCTTGTCAAATTGACACATTTCAAACCTAATATATCTAACTAGCTAAGCTAACCATTGTGTATCCATACTTTTTTGCATGCATTTCTTTAAATCGCTGTAGCGAATCAGCTCATGGGGAAATATGAATAATTAATCATAACTAGTTATAATTAATTATAAATATTTAGATCCGCTGTAGATATTTACTTGACCTCTCAGGGTCAACTGTCTGTCAATTCTAAGAACGTTAATTTCCTGGTTAAGGGAAATAACTTTCTTACTGTACAACTCTACACAGAGCCTGTAGCATAAATCTGCATGATTAAGGGACTGCAGTTATGAGCAAAAAATGAACAACGTCAAGTGTGATACAAGTAAGACTTTATTAACTACATAAACACCTAAACTAGTCTAACATACTACATAAACACTTAAACTGGTCTAACACACACATACACATACAGACACACATGAGGTGTGAGTTTCTCTGCTTGCATTCCTTTGAGCAATAAAACCAGTGATATCAGCCTTGGTTGCCATGGAACCAGAGGCCTGTTCTGCTTTCCTGAGGTGTTACGCATTTCGGGGGAAGGGTCCATAGGTCCTCATATGGCTTGTTAACTGAGGGGTGTTACAGAGTATTTGTTAAATATAGCTAACAAAATATATATTGTGTGTTTGATTGGTGCAGACGCTACAAATTCCCCCCCTTTCGAACGTTGTTGTCCGTCCAATAGACAACAGCGAGTGACGTCAAAGGTGCAGAACAATCAAACACACACCTGCCACTCACGGCTGGGAGACAGTGGTGGCTCTCTGGCTGTTGGTGCCTCCAGGAGTGGTTGTGGTGCCGTAGTGGATGCTGTCAGGTGGTGCGCTGTGGTAATGTAGGCTGTAGCAAGTTGTGGGTCCTCAAGCTTATGCAGCAGGTGTCGAGCCTGTGTCACCTGTCATCCTGAAGTGAGTTAGTCTGGGTAAGATGGTTGTTTGTCGAAGTTGTTAGCCAGTAGGCTATCAGTGGTAGTTAATTTGTGACATTGAATTCACCTTGGCTTCATTTGACTTTACCCGATTGGTGTTTGGAGTTGTCTCGCTGCTGAGCCAGAACTTGGATTTCAGCACGGGCTGCATGCAGGTGGCATTCACATGCGTTGTTTCGGTTCGCCTGAATTAAA